GAGCTTGGCCCCCGCCCCTGGGTCTGAGCCCTGGCTCTGCTGCTGTGTGACCTTGGGAAAGTGCCTGGGTCTCTGAGCCTGATTCCTCCATGCCGGGTTCCCTGGGGTCCCCACTTCCCCAGGTAGTCATAAGTGTTCTGTGACAGAAGGACGCCACACTCCCAGACCTCAGGCATTCCCCCCTTTGCAATCTGTGCCATATTGTCACGCCATCTCTTTCCTAGGGGTCATAATTACAGCAAAGAGCAACAAGAACACCCAACCCCGAGCACCAGCCACTTCTCCAAAGGCTTCACAGACATTTGCTCATTGACTCTCCCATCAGCTCTCGTAGGAAAGCATTATTTCTATCCCCATCTTACAGCTGGGAAATCAAGGCACAGAGAGGTCAGGTGACTTGCTTGAGGTCACACAGCCAGGAAACAGCTGAGCTAGGTTTGTACCATGGCCTGGCTCTGGGGTCTTCCATCTAACGCCTCGGCACACCGCCACACTGGGACATTCTTCTACGCTTAATACTTTAAAGAGATTGCATTTAAACATTTTAACACCTCACTTCTCCCTAAGCATTAATATTCTCAAAATTATGGGTTTGATATTATGTGTGCATGCACGCTCACACACACACACACACACACACACACACACACACACACACAGTGTATATGTCTCCTAATGCACACAGAAGTAAACCCCCAACTATTTAAAAATCTCCGACTATTTAAAAGCTATTTCTGCTAGTCAGTATAAAAGGGCTGGTATACAGTAGGCATGAAATAAGTGTAGCTGTGCTTCCTATCTAAGCCCCAGCTGTGTGCTGGAGCCGACCTCCTCGGAGGCCCTCCCAGATCCCCCGCCTCTGCTGCCCTCTGGTAAACCTCTGCCCTCTGACCTCCTGGGGTGTGACTGTCACGTATCAGGTGTCCCTCTCTCTCCCTGGTTCGACCACCTGGCAAGGACAGGACACCTGGCAAGGGTGGGGCGTGCTCAGTGTGAGGCTGGGGAGAAACCCGCCAGAGTCCTCATGGCGGGCGGCGGCCATCTAGACAGCGCCATTTGACGCCACGTGTCCAGGAGCTGATCCTCAACCCCGGGAGGTCACCCATGGTCCAGGGGGGACACACAACACTGGGTCCTCCTGGGAGCTCGACTTTACAGACAGGGAAACTGAGGCCCAGGCGTGTGTGCGTGGCTCAGGTTCACCAGGGAGGTGGCAATGGAGACGTCACTCAGACCCAGTCACCTCCAGGCCTAACGTGGCTCCCCAGTGCCCCTGGGCAAGGTTGAGGTGCCCTGTCACTGGCTCAGACATCCCTGTGGCTCCTGCCCCGTCCATTATCCCCAAGCCACTTGCTGCTCAGCCGCTGCCTTCTCCTCCAGGCAGGTCCCCTGCTCTGGGCTCCGCAGCCCCACTCACCTCCCAGCTGTCCCCATCCCTAGCAGAGATGACAATTCCTCTTTTGTGGCACCCAAAGGTGCTGTGACGACAGGGGACACCTTATCTTGTTTGAGGCTAAAGGTCCCAGGGATTGGCACATAGTAGGTGTCCAATAAATATTTATTGAGTGAATGGATCAGTGGTCAGCCGCTCATTTGAGCAGTAACTGGGCCCCGGAGTTGGGTGTGAAGTCTCCGAGCCCCTCTCATGTGACAGATGACGGTTACCTCCTTGTCCCTGCTTTCCTGTTCCAATGGAAGGGGTTTGGCCTGGGATGAGCCCTGGGCTGGGAGGGAGATTGGGAGAAGTCTCTCACGGGAGGGGGTCTAGCATCTCTGCCCCTAGCTAGCTGGGCTTCCACGGCCAAGTGAGTGTCCCTCTCTGAGCCTCCCTTTGCTCCTCCATCTGGCAGGGGAAATGCACATGGGGAGGCTGGGGCGGCTGTGAGCCTTGACCTCCCCTGCTTTCTGCCTCCGTCCCAGGCAGCCTTGGGTGGGAGCTGCCCCTTTAACACAGGAGGCGGGGCCAGGGCCAGGGAGGCTGGCAGAGGCTGGCAGAGGCTGGCTGCAGCAGCTAGGGCCCAGCTGGCTGGGGGACAGCTCAGGTAGGTGAGGAGCCGGGAGCAGCAGTGTTGCTGGGGCCCGGGGTGTGCGTGTGAGTGGGGGGGGTCCTGGTCGGAGGCCAAGGTCAGCTGGGTGGACGGGCAGAGGGAGCAGTGAGGTCTGAGCCCTTCCTGGGGACATGCGTCCGCTCAGGGTGCCCTGCAGGGGACCCTGGGCCTGGAGCAGGTCCTGCTGGCCAGAGGGCAGGGCTGGGCACCCCGCCAGGGACCGGCCCCAGGTTCTTCAGGGATTCAACAGTGGAGGGCCACCCAGGTAGCCCTTGGGGACAAGGCATGGAAAGCGAGGGCCCCTTACCCCAGTTCATGGGAGACCATGAGGCCCGTGAGAAGGGACAGCTGGGCCCTGCATTGCTGGGATCTGGGCCCCAGCCCCGAGTCCCCACTGCCTGTCCCACCGGGAGCAGGCCCAGGCTGCCACCTCAGCCCTGGTGGCTGCCACTCTGGCAAGCACTGCGTGTCCCTGGGCCAAGGCCTCGGTCCGCCTAGCCCTAAGGGACCAACCTGGCCTTGATAAGGCTGCCGGCCTTTAACTGATGGCTGCTGTCTCTGGGGGATGGTTGCTATAACGAAGGGGGCTGGAGACACGTGGGGACCCCAGCTGGGGGCACTGGATGCTTGAAGAAGGTGGCAGTTATGTATCAGATGCCCACACCCTTCATCGTGGCCACGCTAACAAGCAGGGGACAAGCAGGGGACGCAGCCCACACTTCCTCGCTGGATGACCTTCGCAGCTGTGTGACCTTGGAGGCGACCCCTCTGGGCCTCATGGGCTAGTAAATGGCCTGGGTGCTGTGTGAGCGTCAGATAAGAGGAGACACAGGGTGCCTGGCAGAGTGCCCGGCGCCCAGCAAGTCCTCGCGGCTGTCGGGCCAAAGTCCGCGCCCTCAGCACATGGCCTGGCTCCATCCTGCCACCACCCTGGGACACACAGCTCCTCTCGCCCGTGGTATGGCCAGTTTGCTGTCGCTTTCCGGGTCTTAGTGTCATGTCCCACCTCCTGCAGATCTTTCCTGGCCTGCACACCCAAAACAGGTCCCCTTGATCTTTAGTCACGCCTGCCTGCCTGTGTTTCCGCACGCGGCAGTTCCCACCATTTCTGGTCATTTTGTCTGTCTGTGCTGATATTTGTTGCATGCTGTTCTCCTCATCAGACGCTCAGTCAGCTCCGAAGTGGACACCTGCCTGCATCACTGTGCTGTCCCCAGGTCCTGGGTCAAGGCCTGCACCTTGTGGGTGCTTTAGAGACAGGATAGAGTGAGGGTGAGTGTGCCGGCATTGCTAAAAGGCCCCAGTGAGCTAATACCCAGAGAACCCGGCCACTGTCTGCCACCTACTAGGAATTGGACCACTGGTAGCTGTTATCCTTATTCACGCACACCACAGCCTGAGAATTGGGGACTGTATTTGTCTCCATTGACAGAAGGGGAAACAGGCACAGAGAGCTCAAGACACTCGCCTGGGTCACACAGCCAAGGAGCTCAGAGCTGGTTTCTAACTTTGATCCTAACGCCCAGGCTTTTGGCCTCCAGAATTGGGGTGAGGTTGTGGAGAGGCTCGGACTTTGCCCTGCCTTGTGGGGCGGGGGTGGGGATGGTAAGGAGGTGCCAAGGGCACAGGGTCAGATGAAGTGCCAGGAAACCTGGTCCTCTCTGCTCTGCAGCCCTTGGAGACTAAGCACGGACACCAAGTCGGGCTTGGGTGGTGTGTGTGGGTGCGCCCCCTGGTGGCCACCGTGGAGCAGGGTCCTCCAGGGGCTGTTCCTTCCCTGCCCATCCGCCCACCTGCTCCGGACCTTGTCACTCCTTCCCTCGGCAGAAATGCTCTCCCCGTGGTCCCCTCTGTCATCCCTCCCGAAGCCCCCCTGTGACGACCTACGGGTCAGAACAGAGTTCAAGGCCTCGCCCTCTGGGTGGAGTCCGGCCCCTGGGGAGGAGGCTGGCCCAGTCCCAGCCACCCCCTCCACTACCACTTCACCCCAGCCTGCCAGAGGGGGTGACAAAGAAAAATTTAGAAATTAAACCTTTAAATCCCTCGACCAGCCATGAAACCAAGCAGCGGTTTCATGGTTAGAATTTAATGAGATGCTGAGAATTTCCTTCGTTTCTTTTTAATTCTTAAAATTTTCGCAGCCCTGGGGATTGAACCCAGGGGCGTTCTATCCCCCAAGCCACACCCCCAGCCCTTTTTGTTTTATTTTGAGACAGGGTCTCACTAAGTTGCTGAGGCTGGCCTCAAACTTTCCATCCTCCTGCCTCAGCCTCCCAAGTAGGTGGGATAGCAGGCGTGAGCTACACAACCTTGCTTTTTAAAAGTAGCACCATTGGACATAATTTACATCAAATCAATCATCTCACTCTAAGTATGGAGTGCAATAAGTTTGGACAAATGTATACAGTGGTGAAACCATGAACTTTTTTTTTTTAAGTAAGTGCTTTTAGGGACACATACTGACATGTTTACAGATGTGATAATCGGGGGAATAATGGTCATAACAATAATGGAGAAAATAAGAATTCAGGAAGCAGGAGAGACAGACATGGGGGTGCAGGCCTTGTGTCCACACTCACTGAGGCCATGTGATGGCCACAAGGGGTCACAACCTGGTTCTGGATGCCACTGGACCCCCAGGGGTCGCTCCTGCGTGGACTCCTGTGATTCCGTCTGCCCACCTGGACAGCGAGGTCTGGCCTCTGCCCGACGCATTGTAGGTGCTCAGTGTCCCGAGGGAACTGGGATGAACTCATTCGTCATGAGGGGTCACATCCTGCCTCCTCCACTTCCAGCGTGAAGGGCGCCCGGTCAGGCCTCCTGGGCAGAGGGGAGGCTGAGGCCCAGAGAGGGGCAGGCGCTTACCTGGGGTCTCCCAGCTTGGCAGCCAGCGGGGCTCAGGGTGCCCAGGCCCAGGACCTCAGCCTCCCCGCCTCTTGCCTGGGGCCCTGAGGACCGTGTGCCCCTGCAGGGCCTGGTGGCTGGGATGGAGGGCGCCCCGGCTGGCCACTTCCACACGACCACGCCTCTGCTGGAGAGCTGGGCGCTGTCCCGGGAGGCGGGCGTGAAGGTCCTCCTCAAGTGTGACAACATGCAGCCGGCCGGCTCCTTCAAGATCCGGGGCATCGGGCACTTCTGCCAGCAGGTGAGGGCGTGTGGGCGGAGGGGGGGGGCGGCCAGCTGCCCTGCACTGGCCTCAAGGCCGCCTGCCTGGGCTAGCCCCTGACGCCATTCCTTCTCTCCCCAGATGGCCAAGAGGGGGTGCAAACACCTGGTGTGCTCCTCAGGTGACCCCACCCCTTTCTGCTTTGTGGGGGACCTCCGGGCAGGGCTGGGGAGGAGAACCTGTCTGGGGTGGCTGTAGATGTCCAGGGCTTGGCCTCCTTTTCAGGGTCAAATCTCAGGCAGCCATCTCTTATGTCCTCTCCTGGGCTTCTTCCCAGAATCAGGGATTCAGGGTGGTAGCACCCGGTTTAAGCTGTAGGTTCCAAGAACTGAAAATCCTCAGGCTGTGTGGCTTTCAGGCCCAGCTGGATCCAGGGCTGTGTGGCTTTCAGGCCCAGCTGGATCCAGGCGGTCTCTTCTGCGGTTCTTCCTTTCCTATTTCTTTCTCTCCTCTACCTCGATCTTACCCAGGCCTCACAACAGCAGCAAGATGTCTGCAGAGGGACCTGCTGTCCTGCTAGCTCCTGACTCGAATGAAGAGAAAAACTTCTCCGCAGCCTTAGAATTCCTCTTTGTGGCCCAGCCTGGGTCACTACTCATCCCTAAGCCAGTCGTGGGTCGAGAGGTCAAGTTCTCCGACTGGCTCAGTTTAGATCAGGTGTCCACCTCTGCAGCCAGGGGACGAGTCAGTGGGGGGCATCAGCGTGACTCCCAAGGGGGTGGGGGGAGAGCTGGGGGTGTCAACAGGCCCAGGCCGCTCTGCACATGTCACCCCTTCTCTGACCCCAGGGGGCAATGCCGGCATCGCTGCTGCTTACTCTGCTCGGAAGCTTGGCATCCCGGCCACCATCGTGCTCCCCGAGACCACGTCCCTGCAGGTGGTGACGAGGCTGCGGGGACAGGGGGCTGAGGTGCAGCTGGCTGGAAAGGTGAGGACCCAGGGAGGACAGCAGCCACAGGGACGTCCCCACCCCTCCTGCCCCTGGGGGAGACGCCTCCTAGGTCGTCTCTCAGGACGGCTGAGCCGAGGGGGGAGAGGGGGGTATTGTGCACTGAGGGCCGGGACCCACTCGCCTCTCCTTGTCCTCAAAACACCTCCTCTGGTGACCCATCTCTCCAGCCACCCTGCCATCAAGTAGCTTCTCACCTCCCTCTCTCCCTCTGGGGCCTCCCACCTACTCATGGACTCATCCACCCATCCAGCCAGCCACCCCACCCACCCATCTACCCATCCTCCACACACCCATCCACCCATCCATCCATCCACCCACCCATCCACCCATCCATCCACCTATCCACCCATCCACCCACCCA